AATCCCGCTGTATGAGAAATACGGGGGGAAGACGTCGTGGTACTCCCGAATCAGGTCGCGAATGACGGGCTCTAAGTCAGCCGTGAACCGCATGAGTTCCTCAACGTCTGCGTCGGCACGAGACGTATGGGTGGACTCGGCAGTGGACGGCGTAGGAACCTGGGGTGTCGAGGGGGTATCCGCAGGCTGCGGGGTGGATGTAGAGATGGGAGCCGCGAAGATGGAGGAAGGGTGAGGGGGATTGGGCTCCAGTGAGATGAGCTCAACCTCGGGACAGAGTGGATCGTAGCGAAGAAGATCCATGACGTTCACTGAGTAGAGCGTGACGTCCTCCTGTCGGAAGAAGGACGAGGGTCCTAGGGAGGTAGGTTTGAAGGGGTGTCATCCGTGGTTCCAATGAAGGGGACTCGATGGGTTTGACCACACTTCGTTTTGAGAATGAGTGTCTCAAACGCCCATTCGGCCTCTGTGCTACGGAACCGGCGAGACCAGGGAGTGCCAAAGATAAAGTCGTACCCAGTCTCCAGCACGTCGAAGTAGGCGGAGGAATGGTATCGCCGAGGCGCCTGGGTACTATCCGGTGGCTGGAGGGTGAGGGAGAAGTGGAGGTCGGGGACCGTCTGATCGAAGAAGCGCTGCGTCTTGTTATCTCCGAGGGTAACGGAGATAGGAGAGCGAGACCCAGAGGTAGCTAGGCGAGCTTCCTCAACCACTCGAGGGTGAACGAAATCTCCCTGCGAGCCAAAGTCCCATAAAGCGCGGTACACCCTCGTAGATGTCCCTAGGCGAATAGGGATGATGGGTAGGGTGCGATTAGGGTCAGAGAGCAAGGCGAGAAGACGACGCAGGACGTTGATGTGTCTCGTGAGGCGCTCCTGACGAGCCTACAGAATGCTCAAGTCCGGGAGAGATGACACAACGTCATCGCGAGTCACCAGCTGAGCGCCACAACGGGTTGTGCGAATGGCGCGACGCGTCGAAAGTCTCAAGCGAGAAGCGCTAGATGCGGCAGTCTGCTGGGAGGCAGACGGTACCTCGATAAACGATGGGGCGGAGAGAACTGCGTCTATCGTGTCCTGAGGGTCCTCTGGTGGGGTAGCCAAAGGGGCAAACCGCGACTCGGTGGTCGTAAAGCCAGGGGCACAGTGCACCGTGGCTAAGGTGGATGGG